CGACGTTGCTTAAAATGTCAAACAATTTCGCTTTCCGGCTTTCATACAAATTTGTGATGTATTTTTGCTTGGAAGAACGTATCCAACACGTTTACGAATTTACGAAATGCATTGTCATTAACAATATTGAACGTCTAAAAACTTTCAGTCACTAACTGCGCCAAAGCAGTGTCTATACTGAAAATAAAATTCGTAAAAGTGCTACGAAAATCTTTCGTAGTGTTGTTTTTTGTACAATGTACGAAACTTTCGTTCATAATACGAACACATTTTTCACAACGAAACAAGATTGTACGAACCATACGTAAATATACCGAAATGACTTTCGTAAGGCATTTTTTCGGTACAATTTCCGAAATCTTACTTTTATTTTACGAAACACATTCGTAAAGCACTGAACAAATCTCTGTACGAATAATTTTGTATATTGTAGGAAGGCATTCGTAGTATTTACGTATGGTTTTAAATTTACGAAATCTATAATTCTGTATTCGTACAATTTAGTAAATACTTTCGTATAAAGTACTAATGAAGAAACATGTTTTTTAAATTCGCACAACATACGAATATTTCCGTACAATCTATATATATAAAAAAATAGCCGTTTTCGTTGTTCGGAGTTAACTTAAAAACTACTGCATAGATTTCAGTCAAATTTTCAGAGGTTATACCCTGCATACATGGTCCTATTATAGGCTACCAAAAAACTCGCTAGGTGGCGCTGGGGTCGAGTTATTTATAAAAGTCGTAATTATGAACCGATTTTGTTCAAATTCAAAACATGTGCTACCTCCATGATGAGAACTACGTACGCGAAAAATAGACCCGCTAGGTGGCGCCGGAGTCGAGTTATTTATAAAAATCGTATTTACGAACTGAGTTCTTTTAAATTCAAAATGTAAGCTACCAGCATGATGGAAAATACGTTTACAAAAAAAACCCCTCTAGATGGCGCTGGTGTTGAGTTATTTATAAAAGTCGTATTTATGAGCCGATTTCGTTGAAATTCAAAGTATAAGCTACCTGCATGATGAAAAAAGCATTTGCGACCCGATAAAAGCCTCATTTATGAACCGATTTTGTTAATGCAAATTATTTACTTATTATTTTAAATTTATGTATTACTTTCAAGATGATTTTTTTCATTCTCAACATATATGTACATACGTACATACAATGATAGCCGTTTTTGTTGTTCGGACTAAACCCAAAAACCAGTCGAATTTTCGGAGGTTATACCTAGCATATATTCCTATTATAGCCTATTAGACAAGACGCTGGTGGCGCAGGAGTAGAGTTACTTATAAAAGTCGTATTTATTAACCGATTTCGTTCAAATTCGCAAAGTGAGCTACCTGTATGATGAAAAATTCGTTTCCTAAAAAAGAACTCGCTATATTTTATAAAATCTGATTGAAATTCATAATGCGTATTCATTTCATGACAAGCAGTGGTTTCGCAGAAAAGGGACCTAATGGATTGCGCTGCAGCCGAAATATATAGAAACCCACACGGGGTTTGATCTGCTATGGCCCTATATTCATCTTAGACGAATTTATTTTTCATATGGCTAAATGGAGAAATCGTTTAAGTATGCATGTAAAGACCGCAACATTGTGTAAGCGCACCTTAGGATTCTTGGCCCTCCTATAACTGAAAACGCTCATCTGTGCTCTTTAGTTTCCTTATAAAGACTTTTATTGGCTTACATGGTACATCGGACCAATGTTGCAGTTGCAAGATCATAGAAGAATATTACGCACGCTTGGAAGAGATCTTACAGGTGGAAATAAGACCATCAGTAAAACTCATAACATTGAAAGGGATTAGTACTCGATATGGTATCACAGCGCTACTATTCTTGGCCTATGTATTACGAGGATTGTGCTCTTAATTCGTTTCAATTTAAACTAAAAATGTTTACTTTACAGACCGATTTTGCTTTTAAACGCTCTTTTTGTATTGGCCAACGCAAAATATCTTCTTAGGTGCCGCGAAGCAAGCGGGCATTGCCTAGTATACTCTATTACCGGAAGTTTAATATTTCATCATATTTTTTGTATCGCGTGTCATTGCGGAATTAAGGGTTGGCTGCTGTGAAACGTATAATATAATTTTAAACGTTTTAAAATGGGATTTGCTGGATAAAAAGACAATACAAAATTAAATATTAAAGCTTTGGATATACTATGCTTTTAAGCGTACAATGTTTTTAACATCGCCTACGCTGCGCCTTGAGCTGCAATGTGGGACTTGATAAATAGGCAATTTCATCAGTTACCTATCAACGGCAAGCCTTAGCCAGGAGCACTACTTAATGTAATTAAACGTAAGTACATGTATGACTTTTCACTGAAACTTGCTTTTCAGACGCCTTATAATTTTCATTTAATTTATAGTCGTCAAGGAAACAAACATCGATGAAGCTGCGAATCTGTCAAGTGCCTCCACATAAAAATATTATAATGTTTAAGAAAGTAAAACCAGTATTTTTTATATCCTTTCATATTTGATATCTTATTACATTTAGTTTTGTTGAGTCTCATAGTTCAACACTTTGCATCAATATACTTTATTGAATGAAGCCTAAGCAATAAAAAAATATGTAGTATAGAACCTATTCGTATGCATATAAATAAAAGACTTAAGTTTTATTATAGGTAAAATAACCTTTTTTATTAATTCTAAACTACAGTGTAGTCAGAAAATTCTTCTTCTTTCGTAGAACGTATGATTGCTTTTATTATTAACACTATAAAAAACATGACTAAAATTATAGCACAATACTTTCATTATATTTTAATCAATAATGTCAAGCGTTTTTGCAAAACGTTTTGTTAAACAAAAACGCTTAATATTAACGATAAAAACAAAATAAAATTATTAAATTATTAAATAATTCTTAATATGTTTTTCACAGTGTGAAGAACGAAAGCAAAATCGCACATTCTACGAAACAAGTCCAGATTTTACGAAAGTGATTTCGTTAAATATATGAATTTTTCCTGTGCATTTTACAAAAATTTCGTAAAAAAATGAAGAAATAGTACGAATTTTTTTAGTAAATAGTACGAAATTCGTTAGTAAATAGTACGAAATTCTTTAGTTAATAGTACTAAATTCTTTAGTAAATAGTAATACATTCGTAAAATGTACTAAAAATCTGATGCCTCATATTTTCGTAGTATGTACGAAAACGGTTTTGTACAATCAACGAAAACTTTCGTGGCTCAAAATGACGAAAAATTTCGTATGATTTATGCAAGTTTTCGTTATATTTACGCAGATTTTATTTTCAGTGTATGTACTTTTTACGTTTAGATGACGAAACCTACTCCACAGCTCTTTTAAAATATAAATCGATTGAATTATAACTGGAGCGATTCGATGAGCTGGTACTGGGTGTGTTGTCTCTATCCGATGCTGGGGGCATCCGCTTTCAGTGATCGCGTAAATTGGATGTGTTTCCGCTAGTTTTATATTCTTTTGAGCATTGTAGACACTTTGCTAATTTTTTGTCATCAGATTGCTTAAAGTATTTCCAAACCTTCGCAAAACTTATTTTATTTATTATTCATGTCAAAATGTTAATCTTTTATTTCCTACCATTGAAAAAGATTTGGATCTTTTCGAAGTGCCTTCAATCACACACACACACAATACTTGCGTTCCCCAACTTTTCTGGGTTAAAACCTGTAAAACTGTCACAAAGCAAAAGAAACCAGACAGCCGAGTACGGGAACGCTTTCTGGTAAATCCCTGTAAATTCTTGCAACTTCTTGCGAGTTAGGGAACGCAACTAATATCTTCTTCCGAGGAACAGGAACATGTGACAGTTTTACTTTTGTCTAAATGAAATGGGTTATTTTAATATGTGCTCTAATTTATGTAGATAAGATATATACGTATTTGGGTGACCAAAAAATTATCCATTTCTGATAAATCTTGCAAACAACTGAAACTATGAATACGTAGAATGATGCTATTTTGCTGATTCTTTGTTTCTCACAATACACATACTTTCGTAATGCAAGAAACGTTAGGCCAACATGGTTGCCATACATTCTCTTATATAAAAGTATTGCCGCTTTATAAAAGGCACATTCACAATTTTTGCGTCTCAAATTTACCCGATAGTTTTTCAAAACTATCGATAGTGAAAAAAAACCAAAACTATCGATAGTATCGATAGTGCCATCGATAGTTTGCCACCACTAGTGTTTAGCACTTCATCGCTGGAATCCAACACTTAACCCAAATCAACCTCAAATCATTTCCTTCTTTTTTTTTTAATTACAATAAAACAATCCAACACCTGACTCTAAAACTCAAATTCAAAATCCTATATCTACCTCTAAAACCCAAATCCAAAATCAAATATTTTACTCTAAAACTCCGATTCTAAAATTCCATATTTAACCATACCTCCACGTAATATTTAAACCTAATACTTATCTGAATCCCTATCTGCTCCTAACATAAAACTCAAATTTAAATCCACGTACCCTAATACTAGCTACGTTCTATTGTAATATCTCTCGGCGGTCTACAACACCTTCTGTTAACGCTTAATAGCGTTCGCGGGTTTTAATAAACGTTTAAAGCGGATTCCGGATAATAAAAAACCAAACACGTTCGATTATGTCAGATCCATTTATTGGAGAGAGGAAAAAAAAGGAAGTTAGCTTTGACAGCAAGTAAGCCAGAGTTGCCAGTAGTTTGTAATAAACAAGTACATAAGAGATGCAAGATAGGCGCGAACATGACGGCCGCCTTGAACGACCGTTCAAATTATAACAATTTCAATTCAAGTGGTTTCAAAACCATAAAATTATACGGAAAAAATGTCGGCCCTTGTGGGTAGCAACGATAGCTTAGCGACAGGTCTCATTAGTTCCTCTTCGGATGTTTTTAAATTTACGACTCGAACTCTACCATCTGAGCCCGGATGTATGCCAAGTACGCGGCCAAGTTTAAATTTCGTGGGTGGCGCGCTACCGTCACGTATAACTACTACGTCGTATTTCTGCAAATTCGGTGTTGAGCGTAACCACTTTGAGCGTTGTTGAAGTCTGACGAGGTATTCGTCCCGCCAGCGTTTCCAGAAATGCTGCCGGATTGACGCGATTGCCCAGCGCTCGTTTGAGATGGTACTTAACGCGTTTTATACCAGCCTCCCAAAAGCCACCCATGTGTGGGGCGCTCGGGGGGTTGAAATGCCAGGTCGTTTGAGCGTCGGCGAAATATGATGACACCTTGTCGTCATTGATGCAGCGTTCGTATGCGATCCGCAGCTTCTTCTCAGCACCCACGAAGTTAGTGCCGTTGTCGGAGTAAATATGCTGACAGTAGCCTCTTCTGTTGGTAAAACGCTTAAAAGCGGCAATAAAGGTGATTGAGGAGAGGTCTCCAGCCAGCTCGAGATGCATTGCATCCGTACTCATACATACAAATGAGCAGATGTACGCCTTCGCAGATTTAGCGCCTCTACCATGCGTAAATTTCAAGGCATAAGGACCAGCGAAATCGACCGCACTGTGCAGGAAACAACGCGCAGAGGTGACGCGGCTCGCGGGTAAATCAGACATGAGTTGTTGTATTGGCTTGCAGCTCAGTCGTCTGCAACGCGTACAACGGCGATATACCGCACGAACAAGGTTTCGAATACCGGCTACCCAAAATCGTCGTTGAAGTACGGCCTGCATTAATTGCGGTCCAGCGTGCAATGTTGTGATGTGTATCTCAGCAACAATTACCTTAGCGAGCGGCGAATTCTTCGGCAATATTATAGGATGCTTGACATCGTCTGAAAGCACGGCATTTTTGATGCGGCCCCCTACACGTGGAATACCCTTTGAGTCTAGAAACGGTTGCAATAGTGCTATGCCGCTTCGCATCGGTACAGATTTGTTTAACCTGCAATTATAAATTTCTTGTTTGAAACAATTAAACTAGGTATACTTTACCAATGCGTTGTTGGCGAAGCGCAATAGATATGCGGTTATACGTTTAAGTTTGTTAAATGAATGATATTTGGTCAACAGGTCCCATTCGTCAGCGGTTTGTGTTAGATACGCAACGGCCTTCTTTGATTTTAACTCGAGCTCCGTGGTGTGTTTTTGTGCGGATATCAGCCAACGACTCTTGCCTTCCCGTAGCCAAGGTGGCCCATGCCACCACAAGGGATGCGCAAGAAGCTGCGATGGTGTAATACCCCTCGATGCGCAATCAGCGGGATTGGGCTCCGTGGCGACGTGCCTCCAATGTGATGCCGGTAAAACTTCCTGTACATCGGCGACGCGATTGGCAACAAACACAGCCCAGCGACTTGGATTGTTTTGTAGCCACACCAACGCAACCATGGAGTCCGTCCATGCGCACAACTCGCCGATTGAGAGGTTCAAACTTGACCGGACTTGCCGCACCAGCTGCGCCCCTAGATGTGCTGCACAAATCTCCAAACGCGGCAGCGATGTGGTTTTTAGAGGCGCTACCTTTGTTTTCGCAGCAACTAGTACGATGTTAACCTTACCATCTGGGATTTGAGTGCGACAGTATAAAGCGGCTGCATAGGCGACTTTCGAAGCATCGGTGAAAAGGTGGAATTCGGAATCTGAAACTGTGCTAGTTCCCAACCAGCGATTTAGTTTTAACGATGAGAGTTTCGACAACTCACTGCGATGAGCCAACCAGTCCTTGGCAACGTCTGATGGTACCGGTTCGTCCCAGTCCACGTTTGCGCGCCAAACCCTTTGCAACCAAATTTTTGAACGAATGGAACATGGCGCGATTAAACCCAAGGGTCGAAGATTTTGCTCGAGTCAGAAAGAAAGGTACGTTTCGTAAGTTTGCTTGGAAGAGCTTCCAGATTAACCGATATAGAAAGCCAATCGTTGTTTGTGTGCCATGTAGTACCTAGAGTGCGAATTTCATCTCCATCGGCTAAAAGGTGTGAAATTTGTTTGGATGCATGCGGTATCAGCTCCCTCAGCGTCTGACAATTTGTCGCCCATTTTCGAAGCTCGAAACCGCTTTGAGAAAGCGCTTTGGATACGTCTTTGTGAAGCACAGTAAGTTCGCGATGCGTATCTGCACCGGTTAATAAGTCGTCCATGTAAAAGTCTGACTTTACAACCTCCACAACTCTTTTACTTGTGTTGGTCGCGTCGAGCGCGGCTTGTTGAAGTGACTTCACTGCCAGGTGCGAAGCGGAGGCAAGTCCATAAGTGACCCTTAGCAGACGATAGTCACGCATTGGCTGTGAAGGGTTATCTCGCCACACTATGCGCTGATAATCGGTGTCCTGCTTAGCCACGTACACCTGCCGGTACATTTTTTCGACGTCAGCAATGATACCAAAGCGGTGAGTACGAAATCGAGTCAGTACAGAGAAGAGGGTTTGCTGCAACTGCGGGCCTACCATGAGAGCGTCGTTTAGATAGTTACCTGGTGGTCTCCTCATAGATGCGTTGAACACGACTCTAAGTTTAGTCGTTTCGCTTGTGTCCTTTAAAACCGCATGATGTGGCATGTAATATACGTTGGTTGTTGCAGGCTCGACTAACTCCATATGGTCCATGTCAATAAGTTCTTGCATTAACTTACTGTACTCCTGGCGTAGGTGTTTGTCAGCGGCAAATCTTTTTTCCATGCGGAGTAAGGCTCGAACTGCGGCGGCTCTCGACTCACCGATCAGGACGTCTGTCTTTAATGGTAAACGCACAATGTAACGACCGTCTTCTGCCCGCTCGGTTGTTTCGTCGAAGAGCTTTTCGCAAAATGATTCTTCTTGTGTATAAAACCTTCGAGGGGGCAACTCTTCGAGTTCCCAAAATTTGTTTACAAGTTGGGTTAACTGCGTATCACAATGCAAAGTCGATACTGTCAAAGGTGGCCGCTGCAAATTAGTCGCGTTCCCAAACAGTACCCAACCGAACGCGGTATTTTGTGCCATTGGGGTGCCCTGTTCACCTTTACGCAGACCACTGAGTAGGATTTGTCCATTTCGTCCATGCCGATTAAAATATCTACTGGACCAGGCGTTGAGAAATGTAGATCAGCTAGTGGTAAGTCGGTGAGATGCGGCCATGAGGACGTCGGTACAGGGGTTGTGGGGAGATTGTTAGTAATTGTCGGTAAGATAAGTGTACTCACTTGAAATTTGGTATCTAGGGCTCGCGGCGATATGCATAGTGTAACCTCACCCTTGGTACGACCTCCTTGTAGTTATGCAATCCCCGTAACGTAAGCGGATGATGGTGTTCTGGGGATGCGTAGGCGTTGGACGCACGCTTCGGTGACGAATGAAGCATGCGAGCCGTTGTCGAGCACAGCTCGGGTGGGTTGCCAACGACCAGCGTAGTCTTGCACCACAATCTCAGCGGTTGCCAGCAAAATGACACGATCAGCGTCAGCGTAGTGTGAGGTGACGTTGACGTGCTGTACGGTTGAACTGCTAGCGGGTGTTGCGGTTTGGTTGGTGAAGTTTGCATGAGGTAACGTGTGGTGGTGGTGTTGACATATACGGCACGAAGATGCGCTGCGGCATTTAGCGAGAACGTGCCCTTTGCTGAGACAATTTACACATGCGCCTAGCCCGTTAATAGCGGCTAGTCTACCCTTTGAGTCGAGTTGGCTGAACTGCGGACAAGCGTAGATTTTATGTTCACCATTGCAATGAGCACAATGCAACACCTTTGTAGCGGCCGATGTATGGTCGCGTGTTTCTGACTGATTGCATGCCGTGTGGAGAACGTTCTTTGTTGTTGTTTTTGTATTAGAGCTTACTTGTGGCACCATCTCTAATGAGCGTGCACGAGTTTCGAGAAACTCTCGAAGAGAAGTGAAGGATGGTAGATCATCTACCACAAGCGACAGCTCCCATTGCTTGCGGGTTTCGTATGTTAACTTGGATACGGTTAAATGAATAAGCCAATCGTCCCAAAATTCGACTGGACGTCCGAGTGCGCGCAGCGCGCCAACGTGCTAAAGGATAGCATTTAACACGAGTTTGATTGCTTTGGCTGTATCTTTTGTTGCTTTCCCAATTGATGATAGCGCTTTGATGTGGCTGTCCACCATGACTCGCATGACTTTGTACCTCGCGGTCAATAAGTCCCAAGCCTCATTATAATTGCTGTCACACACCGCTAAGCTACTCGCCAAGCCTAATGCTTCTCCTTTTAAACAATTCCGAAGATAATGCAATTTTTTTCCGTCCGACAAACTCGCATTCGTATTAACGAGTGAGCAAAAAGCATCGTGAAAAGACAACCATTGAGCGGGGTCGCCATTAAACGACGGCAACTGCAGTTTAGGAAGTGGCACGGGAGCAGGCGCTGCCTTTACGGAACCCTGATGCGATGGCTGCCTTTGAGCTGATAACAGGCGTTTTAAATTAGCCTTGGCGGTGCTATACCACTCCTCTCCTTGTATGCGTGACTGCTCCTCCATGGAGGCGTTCTCATCCCCACACGAGAGCTCCACTTCCTGCTGTGCTTCGCAAAAGCGAGTCCATTGCTTTTCAAGCAATTGAAGATAAGTAGATATTACCTCAGTGTCCACCGATAGCGCATCCACTTTACTGGATTGTAAGTAGCGTTTGATTGCGTTTAACGCGGAGTCACGAATTTTAAGAGATGACATGTTGCAAATGTCAGCGCGGAATAAATTTAGTAAATATAGGCGGGTTTGCTAATTTCAATGAAAATATAATGCGATCCGGGTTGAAGGACCAGTTTATGTTAACGCTTAATAGCGTTCGCGGGTTTTAATAAACGTTTAAAGCGGATTCCTTTCGATAGTAATAAACCAAACACGTTCGATTATGTCAAATCCATTTATTAGAGAGAGGAAAAAAAAGGAAGTTAGCTTTGGCAGCAAGTAAGCCAGAGTTGCCAGTAGTTTGTAATAAACAAGTACATAAGAGATGCCAGATAAGCGCGACCACCTTCATTACCACTCAATCTGAAGAGTTGATTAACTATTAAATTGAATTACCTTAACGATATTAAATGAAGTCAACAATTTACAAAAAAAACTCGCGGTGGTAAACAAATGGAAAGGTACGTTTTTATGTAAGTGCGTACTGATTTGCACCTAATGTGCATGTACGTATGCAAATGTATATATCTGTGTTCGTACCCTGTGGGGAAAATCTCTAGTTCTGAACTGGGGCGCTTCTAGTACATTTGGACCCAGTACTGGTTCGCGATAAATCTCTTTTGCATGCAAGCAACTGGCGAATTTAACATGGCGATGTCCTAGGAAGTGTCAATTTCCCCCCGCTGCATCCCTTTTTCGATAGTTCCGAACTAGTCCTAAATTCTATAGTTCCGAACCAGTTCTAAAATCGACAGACGAAAGAAAAAAGTATCATGATTTTTTAATCTTTTCGGTTCTTCCGTGTGCGATTTTACATTATTTTCAAAGAAACGTTTTTTCAATTTGAAATTAAATTTGTTGAAATGTACGTTTACATACTTTGCTGTAGCTGACTTTGCAGAAGTGCTCGCTGTTATTGGTTAGATTCCATACGGCCCCAAGATGTTAATATGTTAACACAAAGCTTTGTTTTGTATTACCAAACTATGAAATAGCATCTGCGTAGCACAGAATAGAAGCGTATTTGAACGAAAAAGCCGCCGAACACATATATATGTAAAGTAAACAAGCGCCCCGCTGCATCCCTTATTCGATAGTTCCGAAATAGTTCTAAATTCGACAAATAGGATCCAGTTCGTTCTGCATCCCTTTTTCTATAGTTCCGAACCATTTCTAAATTCGTCACTTTAGATATAGATTTGTAGTGAAAAAAACTGAAAAAATTTGTTTCTTAAAAGTACCACTTTTCGCCGATTTTGGACTGGTGGGGATCTAGTTCCTATGGGACTAGTTCCTTTTTGGCGATAAAGACCTAGTACGGAACTAGAAATTTGATTTACTAGTCCGCGGTTTCCCTGCAGGGTATAGAATAATAGCTTATGTCGAGTAGCTGGCTTTAGTATAGGGCTGCCATAATCCTGAACCCATCGACCAGGACACTTATCATCGAAATCAAAAACGAAGATACAAGTGAATATAGTGCCAACATATATTCCTTATAAGTACAGTTGCTTTGGTTCTGCTATTATAAGCCATGTAGTTTTGTGGCTCAATCCGTAGAGCTGAATAACTCATGCTGATTAAACGCTCAAGCTCTGTATTTTTTTAATCATAAAAGAACAAATTTCTCGTTACGGTGACGTACCACCATTAGCAAATTTCCGCATATCCTACAACGCGCTTCATGATAAGTTTTAGCATTTGGTTTTAACATTTTGGTTATGCATATAACCTGAAGATAATTTAGGTAGGCTGTCTTAAGTAAAGCCATTCTAAAAGGCTTACACAACAAGGACTGAAAAAAGTGCTTCCCTGCATGCTTCCTAGAAAGGTGTTTCCTATTTACAATTTACGCGAATGTACTTAAGTAAAAGTTTATATTACTTAGAATTACAAATAAGATTCAAAAGGCATTTTAAGTCTAAATAAAACTATTTGATGTAAACCTTAAATAACTTCTTTAAAGAAGTATGATTTTTATGAATTAAGAAAAACTCTGAAAGAACTTCTTCAAAAGGCGTCCTTCTGAAAGCTCTTTTTGTGTAGCGAAGGCAGAAGCCCTTCATTTTGTGCCACTCCATACAAAAAATTAAGGAGAAACAGTGGCGGACCCACGGGGGGTTTTTTAATACATAGACGCCATATTATATATACATATGCGCCATATTAAAACACTCCCG